CGATGCAGAGCATCGTGTTTACCACTGTTTGATCCAGTATCTCTGACCCACTCAGGCTCAGTTCAGTCATTTGGTTGGAGAATTTGAATCTCTTTACAAGACAAAGAAGTCATTCAGTCTCTTGACCATCTACTTTCTAGACTCATGACTGTGATGAAGTGGTTCCTCTAAATGGTTTTCTCCCTTTGATGAGGGAGGGGTGGCAGATAGAGACACACAGAGAGATACATGTATGCACTCTTGCATTGGCTTTGGAATCTTGGTAGAAGTTGCTCCTGTCTAGTTTTGATTTTGTGTTTGACCTGCTAGGCCTTCTGGGGATTTTTTTCTATTCCTAATCTGAAGTGGCTTTTTATTTAAAAAGATCACATAACTGCTCTGTCTTTTTCTAAAAAAAGAATTTTAACATTTATTTGTGTGTGTGTGTGTGTGTGTCACAGTGTTAGGCAACAAATACCTTTATCTACTGAGCCAACTCTTTGGCCTGTCTTCTGCTTTTTAAACACATTAAAGGTCCCTTTGTCACTCCATCTTACTCCTTCAAAATCTATGTACTTGGGAACCCTTAAACCCAAGGCCTTGCATATGCATTCCCACTCTATTATTCTTTTCTTAAGATTTGCTTTTATTATTTTTAAGTTATGTGTAAATGAATGTAGAGGGGGTTATGTGCACATGAGAGTCCCAAAATGGGGTATAGACTCCCCTAGGGCTTAGATTTTTCTCCTGTTCTATTGTTTAATTTAAAAATACTGTAGTCATCTCACACACATCCAGGTTCTTGATGCCCTAAATCCTATATACTACTTGGGATCAAGGCCAGGATATTTCTGAGGCCACCTGCCCTTGTATTATAACTATGAATCTTAGGCACGAATGGGAGAGGGTAATGGAAGGGAAATCTCTAGTACTGGGCTAAAACTAAGTAGAAGAACACCTACTGGATGGAGATATTTAAGACAAAAAGGGAGTTTAAGAAAGTGATCAGGCGATAAGCTGACAGACGCTCTGAGGTCCATAAACTCTAATCAGCAACATCAAAAAAAAAAAAAAAAAGGCAGCTAAAAAAGTGCTTAAATGCTTTCCAATTGTGTTGAGAGCTGTCATTTCCATCTTTGTTCTCCCTTCCTTTGATGTGAAAATGAACAAACTCCCTTCATCTCAGGGTGTTTTATTTATTTATATTTTTAGGTTTTATTTGACATACATTTATCCTTAGTAGACAGTCTGAATTTCTGAATGACCTGCTTTTACTTCATAGAATAAAGTGTTCTTTCAACAAACTGATTGTTATTAGGAAGAAACTGATCATTTCTCAGGGCAGTGCAGTTGATACATTTTTATTGCATGCAAATTTTGAAAGGTCATGTGCATATTTAAATAAAATAACAGGAGAATACTTTTTCATTCTCTTTAATTTTATTTATGAGTAAGAATATACTAGGATGCAAATGGAACATATGTAGAAATACTTGGATATTGACACCAACTTTATTCTCTAATATATTAGGTCAGACTATAAAATTGCTGATATGAGTTGACTTTTGTTTGTTTTTCAAGCCCTAGCTGTCCTGGAAATGACTCTGTAGATCAGGCTGTCTTCAGACTCATTCTGCCTGCCTCTGCCTCGTTGGTGCTAGTATTAAAGGCATGTGCCCTCATCACCTGGCATGATTTTACTTTTAATACTTTGTTAATCATTTAATCTTAAACTTTATAATAGCCCATTTTGTAACTAAAGAGTCTATAGCCCATATCCCCAAAACAGTATTACAGGGATAGTATTGTTTTTGGATAAACTGGAATTATTGGTTAGCCTGTTATTATTAAAAATAAATGACTTGAGGACTGGAGAGATATCTCAGTGTTTAAAAGTGTGTACTTTCTTGCAGAGGACCCAGGTTCAATTCCCAGCACCCACATCAGGTGGTTCACAACTGCCTGTAACTCCAGCTCCAGGGGTATTTGACATCTCTGGCCTCTGGAGAACACACACACACACACACACACACACACACACTTATGTACACTTGAAAGTAATAAAAACAAATGTTTAAAAATAAATGCTTTAATGCTACTAATATTAAACACAAGCAGGTTGTCATCCATAAAATTAACAGAACCCAGAAGCATTAAACCAGAAACCTCTAGCATCTTGTGCTGCTGATGCTCATAACAATAACTCTTATTTTCTTAGTGTGTTAAATATAGAACCCAGGGCTTTGTGCCTGCTAGGCACAAAGCTACACC